ACACACATGCCTTACAGCCCTGACCACCTGCGGGACACACATATGCCTACAACCCCGACCCCTTGGGGAACACACAAACATGCCCTCCAGTCCTGACCCTCTGGGGGACACACACATGCCCTATAGCCAGGGCCGTATTAAGAATTTGTGGGGCCCTAGGCCATTATAAATGCTGGCGCTTAAAGGGAGGGAAAAAGAGTCGAAGTTGTAGTTTCTAGGGGCCAGGGGCCTCCTCACCTGGGAAATTTTTTAAATTAAGGTCCTTTGAGGCTGCAAATTCTGCCTTCTGAAGGAGAGCGCAATGAATGGTAAGGTAATCTGTAATCTAAAGATATTTTTAGGCAAAATCAAAACATTCGGTGAGGCTCTTTGTTCTCTGTATTGGATGATTGAAACAGATTGTCAGAAAAAGGAACAATAAAACAAGTGAAGTGAACCAGAAAAACATGTAACTTTATTACATCATGCAGTAGAATAACATAATGATAGGCCTATCTAAGTAATGTGGAAAAATATGAAATTCATTAGACAGCTCCCTTACGTGCTTTGCTGCAAGCAAATTCATCAATAACATGTTCAAAGTTAAATGTTTGAGTAATATCTTACTCATTGGTGAGAATAGAAAAGTCGCCGAGTCTGTCTTGGGTAACAGAAGAACGTAATCTGTTTTTCACACACTTGAAAACTGAAAATTAACATTCTCCTTCTGCGTTTGCCGCTGGCATTGTCAGGTAAATCTTCAATGCTATTTCAACATTTAAAAACACTTCAACAATATCCGATCCTCGAATATACTCCAACATCTTCTGAGGTGATGAAAGATTTCTTTAATTTGGAGAGGTGCTCAGAGAAATGAATCATCTCGTCAGGAAAACTCTCTTCCAAATCTGTGAAGTATGTTGTCTGTAGCAAGAGTGCGAATTTTGTCAGTCGAAAGTGTTCACAGTTCAAATTGGTCATGAAGTACTGCACATACTTGTTTTCTGCGACCAAGCTCAGCAATCAAGGAACCCTACCTCAGCTGAAGCTTCCTTGCTTTCATAAAAAAAAAAGTTTCCGTTTTACTCTCCGTCTTTCATCGTAAGTGTGATCGTCCACAAGTTTCTTGGCCTTTTATTCAAATAAATCGTATTCATTCCGTAACGATTTTATGTATGTTATCAAGCCTTCATATAAGTGAACTGTCGACAGCTCAATTGTTTCCATTTGTCCCACAAAATGCACAAAATGGCATGCTCATACTTTTCCATCTTTCTAGTCAAAGATGATGCTTCACTTCATGTCTGAGGGGGGGTCTCTTTTTGTCCGTGGAAATTGCTTGCAAACCCGAATAAATTTTTTTATAGCTCTCCTTCAATGCCTGCGTTGCACCATATCTGGTGGACCATCTTGTATTTGACAAAGACTTGGGAACAATACTATGCTGATGCAGAAAATCTTTGAGTAACTTCCAACGACGTGTAGATGCCGAAAAGAAATTATAAAGAGCTTGCACGATTCAAAAAAATGAAACTGCATTGACAACATTCTGCAGCACATGAACTAACTAGATTTAAAGTGTGTGCTGAACAAGGAACAAAATGAGCAAGAGAATTTATGTTTCTTATTCTTTGCTGAACTCCTGAATACTTTCCAGCCATTGTCGTAACTTTGTCCTCGACAGTTAAAAATGGGAATATCAAGGTCATTCAATGTACTCCGCACAACATTTGTTAGATATCCAGCATCATGCCCCTCAATCTCAATGAATTTTAAAAACCTTTCAACAGGAATATCATTTGCACTCACATAACGCAATATGAAAACTAACTAATCAGATAGGGTAATGTCTGGTGTCAAATCTACACTGTAGTACTTGGCTGCCAGCACTTCAAGACACAAAAGCAGTCATAACCTACTTTGCTATCATATGGATAAATTCATTGCAATCTGTTGAAAGATATGAAGGGATACCACGACCTGCATTACTGAATCTGTTCAAATTATCTGCCAGGAAAGCATCATACTGTGCAAGCAGTTTGATTATTCCAAGAAAGTTTCCATTATTCCTGGAACCTATCTGTTCATTTTGATCTTGGAATGGTAGTCCTCTCTGCTGAAAACTTTACAACAGAAACCACTCTTTTTAATGCATTCTTCCAGTACTCTTTTCTTCTCGTAACTGCATAAACAATGTCTTATCTACTCCCTCAGTTTCATGGCCAAGAGAGCATGCAGACAGACACTGTGCATCATAATGTTTTCATGTCCCAGGAGACGATGGACATTTTTCCAGTCATTAAATCCTGTAGTTAATGCCGACTGATTGGGAGAAAAAAAAGTTTACAATCATAGCAAAAAACCATGCCACTTGACTCAGAATAACACCAACTTCTAACTTTTCTCAGTTAGCAAGCATTCAAAAAAAAAAAATTGCCTTAAGTACCTGGCTCTTCCACCATAGTAAGTTTCAGCAGAGGTTATCAAGTTTAGTGCATCGAAATCCCGTTCAAGCTTTTTCTGAGAAAAGTAACAGCGTAATTCTTGCAAGATCCTCAGTTAATGTCAGTCCACAATGCAGGATCCTCAGTTAATGTCAGTCCACAATGCAGGATCCTCAGTTAATGTCAGTCCACAATGCAGGATCCTCAGTTAATGTCAGTCCACAATGCAGGATCCTCAGTTAATGTCAGTCCACAATGCAGGATCCTCAGTTAATGTCAGTCCACAATGCAGGATCCTCAGTTAATGTCAGTCCACAATGCAGGATCCTCTTGATGCCAGTCCACAATGCAGGATCCTCAGTTATGTCAGTCCACAATGCAGGATCCTCAGTTAATGTCAGTCCACAATGCAGGATCCTCAGTTAATGTCAGTCCACAATGCAGGATCCTCAGTTAATGTCAGTCCACAATGCAGGATCCTCAGTTAATGTCAGTCCACAATGCAGATTAATGTCAGTCCACAATGCAGGATCCTCAGTTAATGTCATCCACAATGCAGGATCCTCAGTTAATGTCAGTCCACAATGCAGGATCCTCAGTTAATGTCAGTCCACAATGCAGGATCCTCAGTTAATGTCCGTCCACAATGCAGGATCCTCAGTTAATGTCCGTCCACAATGCAGGATCCTCAGTTAATGTCAGTCCACAATGCAGGATCCTCAGTTAATGTCAGTCCACAATGCAGGATCCTCAGTTAATGTCAGTCCACAATGCAGGATCCTCAGTTAATGTCAGTCCTTCAAAAGACTTGCTGAAAACTATCACAAGTTGATAATACCCAGAGAGTAAAGTATAGTAATATTATAAACAAAGATAAAATAAAATGTAAATGTAGTTTCATATATTAATTATTATACTCAAGATACGGATTATCAACTTTAGCTGGTCATTACCAATTTGAGGTCGAGTACCAAATCACACTTCAACATTACCAAACAATTTTCATTTCCAAATTTGCCGGGATTTGATATGAATTCATGCCAAATGGCAGTGCTGCTCAATTCTGTTTTCTTCTACTCATAAGGGGAACTTAGCAAGGCCTCATAAGGGGCACAAAATTTTTCACTGTACAGCTTCAGAACATGCAATACATATGCTGATAAAGTACAGTATACCATTTCGTTTGTAACAGTTAGAATAAACCTCATAGGAAACTTATTTTGCAAAGGATTTCATCATTTTTCTAACCATCATATTTTCTGAGGGCCATGTTCATCTAGGTAAATCAGGCCCTACCCCAAGGCCCCTTGGGACGCTGGGTTCTATGCCATGGCCGACACCATAACCAGCCCCAAACTCCTGGGGTACAACAGGCCCTTCCGAGTTGCCTATACAACTATGAAATATGGCATGGGGTATAGAATATATTGCAATCATCAGAAAGTGGAAAATGTTATAAAGTTACATTGAAAAAATGCTTAGCCCCTTCCCTGCCAGTGGCAACTAGAGTGGATCACATGGATAGGCATATTGCAATGCTTCCAATTCTGGCATTGTAGGACAACATTGCTCTTTGGTCCAACGAAATAAATACAAAACGACCAATGCTCGGCCATTGAGAAATAAATAGTACATGCAATGCAATAACATGTAGTGCTGCCACTATACTTGCTCCTTGTGCTGCACAGTCCATATGCTGACCCATCAACCCTGGAGGGTCCATATTTTTTTTTTTTTGTCCAACCTGCAGTCAGTAACCTGACCCATCAACCCTAGAGGGTCCATTTTTTATGGCCAACCTCGTACCACCCCTCCTAAAAAATTATCAACGGATCTACGCTGGTCTCCGAAAATGGTGGGGAGGAAACCAGGAAAAACAAGAAATAACATCCCAGACTACTGCACTTTGTGCAAGAGCATGTGGGGAGTCACTACAAGTACAGTGGGATATGCTATAACGAATCTAATTGGTTCTAGAACCTTGTTCGCTATAGCATTCGTTAGTTATAGGATTAATCCGTTCCAGGCCACCAAATACAACCACTTAACACTGAAAAATATAATATAAAATTGTAAAAAAGTGCATAAATATGCATCTAAACCCCTGAAATAACCAATATCATTAATACTTGTAATAAAAAAAAAAAAAATTTTTTTAAATAATGTTCTTTGTAGGAGTTTCGTTCGTTATAGCATTCTCAATTTTATAGGTAAAACCGTTCGTTATAGGAATATTCGTAGTAGGATCCGTTCGTTATAGCATACCCCACTGTATGCAATTTGAAAAGAATGTCATCAGAAAGCAAAGGCTTGCATAATTCTTAATGCATGTAGAAGGAAGAGAGTACCAAACATTAATAACAAGGTCACAATTTTCAATAAAAGGTCAACATTAAAGTTATTTTAACAGTTGATCACTTTGTTGCAGTCCTGATTTAATAGTTCTATACCTCATTAACCTCTTTCACTACAGCAATGCCATTGGTATTTTATTTGGCTAATGCTAGATTTAATCCAGAGGCCATATAACAAGGGCGAGAGCCTTTGTTACACGGTTATTCAAATAAAACAAATTGGAAGACTTTATCTTATTATAATTAGTTACACTTTCTTGCAATATAATAAACTATAAATATTTTCACTTTAAACAACATATGCAAAGTAATAAATGGAGACTTCAATTTTAGAAGGCTACTTCCGCATGCAGTAGAAATTAAGTTTCTAAAATCTGCCAATGAAAGTTTTTCATTTAATAAAAAAATACAGTTCATAACATTGAGGTGCTTTAATCTCCTCCCACAATGGGTGACTAAAAACAAAGCCTTCACAATATTAACATTTCTGCACAAAAAGCAAAGCATAGTTACAAACAGGCTTCTTAGTTGATCAGTTACTGGAATGTGACTGCTACTATCCATTTGCCATAACATCTATAACTGGAATCATTTCTGGCCCCCTTTGTGGTGGAATGTTCTCTAAGTGTCACCTTAATATCCATGAATTACTTTAAGTAACTCATTAGGTCACCAAATGTCAACAAGAACTTCATTATTAGACAATAACATTAAATATTCTGCCTAATTAGTCCTAAACCATCAAGGTTCTTCCAAGGCCATTGCGGTTTAAAAACCTATAACGTTTTGACCAATGTGCATCAATTGTGTGTTTGTAACTACAAACTCTTAATCTCATTGACAGCCTTGACAATGGCTGAAGCAGAGATACCAAACATGTCCAGTAATTCATCACAGTTTCCAGAACGTGGAACACGAGGAACAGCCAAATGACGTACAATGATGTCTCGCTCAGTGGCAACTGCCGACATAACTGCTTCACCAATGCCACCTGTAATTTAGAAGTCCATTTAAAATTACAAATTAAAATTATCCCTCTAGAATATTTTCCACAAAGATGCTGGGTGACAAAATTCTAGGGCAAAAAATTTCAATTTCATTCACCATAATTTCTGTAACTGGTGGTGCTCTACTATGGCATTTCCCTGTATACAACTTTAAAGCACCAACATCAAGTTAATTCTCACAAAACACTCAAAATGCTTTACATCGTCCGTATCATCACCCAATCCTTCCTGTCTTCTAAATGTTCTCAACCCAAATGCCTCCAAAGCCTCATTATTTACAAATTTTCACTTAACTTTTAGCAACCCCTGGTCAGCTCGTGTGACACTGCTTTCACTTCCCCAATCATAATGTATTGGTTTACTATTCCTTGCATACCATTTACTCCACACTGCTCAAAAATAAATATTTCCGTCTTCCTTCCTCCTTTTCTAATAATAACCCACATTCCCAAAGTATTGCCAACTTAACTACAGTATTCCTTTGTACACTCTTCTTAACCCCCCTTTGCTAGAAACAGGTCTTCATACACATCTACATTTGTTTTCTATTCTTTCCTTGCTTTACTCTTAACCTCTTCGACACCAATCTGCAGGTTAGCCGTTTGGGCGGTCAGTCATGTCTGTTACGCACTGTTGGCAAGAACAGGGCTTGCACTGGCTCCTAATGTATCTGAACCTGGTCCTGTGTGGGTCTTGAAGGAGCTCAAGCTATATGTACTCTCAAATTCATCATTCAAACCATAGTTCTATTCAGACATACTCCCACACTTAATCTGTCTCTTCTCTACACTTTCATCATCATTGTTGTTCACATTCACAAAACCTACTATGTATTTCAAGTGCATTTGCCAAGCCTACTACATACAACCCTTCACATTCCCTAACAATTTAATTTCTTCTTCTGAAGCATACTCCAGAGCAGTGCCATTTGCATACAACACCCTCTTACTCTTTTAGACACCTTATCCCAAACACTTGCACCCCTAACCAATCCTATCTACTTTCAACTCTTGAAATTATAGGACCATGGTAACCACTCAATGTAGTCCGGCTTTCATTGAGAACCACTTTTCTCACACCAACATGTTTCACTCTATGAAACTCAGTGCATCAGTGATCAGGGTGACCACTGGGCCATGAGTGGAGAGCATGGCGTGGTTAAGTGCAAGGCCTACCCGAGCTGTTTGGTGGCCACAAGTACAGTACAGTGATTCTTAAAAGTATTCGAGTTTTGGCTCGAGTTTCAGGAACGTAATTCCTGCAAAAAACACGGAATTACTGTATTCTAAAACTGGTCATACAATTAGCCAGAAAGTAAACATTGTACACAAATGTGTCTAGGGTTTGCTTTGGTCCACTTGTCCATCATTTTGACCCATGTTTGTGGCCCTTTGCTCAGGCATACAAGTTCCTAGATTGCGAGTCAGAAGGTCGAGATGAAATAGTAATAGCATATTTAATAAAAATATGGCAAGATTTGATTTAAATCATATTAGGCATTAGTCCAAGGCACTGAAAGTGTTGAACAAAATTAGAAACTCAAATCAAAGTTCTAGAAATCATTGACTTTGTGTAATGTGTTAAAGGGTTTGGCTTGGCTTTAAATTCAACATTAATGTAAAATAGAAGGAATAAAAGTCAAGCATAAAGTGAACGACATTAATTAATAACATTGCAAGGAAATAATTTATAATCAATGACGAATATCAAACTGGTACATTAAAACAAACCTTCAGGGTAATGATCCTCTACAACAATGATGCGTCCACCACACTCCCGAGCATTCTCAATAATGCCATCTTTGTCAATGGGTTTTATGGTGAAAAGATCCAGGATCCTCACATTGGTCCCATTATCAAGGAGCTGGTCTGCAGCAGTTAGTGCCTCCCTCAAGGTGATGGCTGCTCCAATCACCAGGACTTCATCATTATCAGAGGACTTTATCACCTTTGCTTTCCCAAGCTAAGGAAGAAATTAGTTCAAAATTTTCTTTCAATTTAATATTTAAGATCAGCGATATACTCAACGATGAACAAAGTTCTCTTTACACCAGAGTTAGGTAAATTTTTTTTGGCCACTTAACTGGTTAAGTTAATTAAATTGTTAAATTATAACAGACTTCATTAAATAAAATTGCTAAATTACTTTATTAACCAGTTAATTTTCATAACCGGGGGGGGGGGGTTTCTGTGGTAAAAACCCACTTCACATTAGACAAAATGTTCATGGAAACACGACATACAGGCAAAAGGGGACCATGAGAATCCTGAACAAGTATTCTGGCCATTCAGGCATCATTTACAGATTATGTTAATTATACAAAATTTTAATCTATTCCAAGGCCACTTTGTCCATAGAAGTCTTTAAACCATGAAATTGAGAGATTTCCAGGTGACTAGAGACTCCTCAAAACTGAAAAAAATACCCCATCACCAGAATTTTCTAGGTACCAGGAAAAATGTCTCAAGTTCCAGAAATAGGGCACCTCATCTCTTTAACCAGGAAAGAAAATTACCCATCCCCAGAATTTTCAACTTTTCCACAATGACGCAGGATTTCATCTCAAACCTAGAAAAAAAATCCCCATCACCGGAATCTTTCCGGGTACCGGGAAAATTTCTCCGGATTTCCCCCAAAAATCTGCCCCTTGGAAAATTCTAGCTTAAGGAATGATTTCCCGAGAAAATTTCATTTCGGCTATCAGAGAGGTTACTATTAATTTTGTTAGGGATAAATAGTATGGTAATCCATCCATAATTTTGGAAATTTTCAGAGGTTATGAGCTAATTCACAACCTAATAAAAGTGATGGACATGAGATTAATTACCAGGTGCAGCAAAACCAATTTTTAAAACCTTCACCCAAGATAACTTCACATATCTATGGGTAAACAAGTTACTGTATAAATGTCTAATTTTACACAACCTCCAAGTCTTATGTTCCACAGGGTAAATAGACACTGGATCACTGACCTCAAACTTATGATCATTGTCATAAACTACTGTGGTCCCAGGGCGAGAAGTACGTATAAAGCAGATACCAGGAGTGTTTGCAGCCAGCTCACAAGCACGTTCAGTGGACACTGCATCTGATGGGTAGAATACTGTGGCAGTCGGGATGGTGCGGAACATGGCCAAGTCCTCAAGAGCCATCTGGCTGGGACCATCTCCACCAATACTGATGCCAGCATGTGACCCAACACAGTTAATATTGGTCTGAAAATAATCATAACTTGAATTACATCCCCAAAAATAAATAAAGATTACTTAAGAAAAAGCTACACACCAATTACATTAAATTGGATACCAAGTCCCATAACACTACCTACTAACAATTTAATGTCACATTAGCGAGGTCTAAACAAATTTCAAATTACAGTAAATATATACAAAACCATCAATTAGACAAAAAACGAACCTGTGAAATAGCTCCCATACGCAGCTGATCAAAGGCACGAGTGAAGAAAGCAGCAAAAGTGGACACAAATGCCACAGTTCGGTCACGACAGGCAGCTCCAATGCCAACACCCACCAAGTTTTGTTCTGCGATGAAGCACTCTATATACCTGAAACAAAACTATTTATCATCAATCCTGCACAGCTTACTATGAAAATCTTACACAAAAGACATTGTGAATCTTGTTTGAACATCACAAGCGAAGTGTGTGCGTGTGTGATAATTCAATGTAAAGGAGAATTGGTCTTTAAAATTCCATTTCAAGAGTTTCAATCAGTCATCTTTATAACAAGTTGAAAACCCAGGGGTACCCACGAATAAAACTTATCAGAAGCAGTTACAGAATGTATCTCATTGTTGCACCAGTATAGGACACTTCAATCATACATAGTAAAAAAAAATTCATAATCTTAAGATACAGCTCAGCCTCTGCAGCCCCAACAAGCAGGGAGGAGGAGGAGGAGGAGGAGGAGGGGGGGGGGGGAAAAAAAAAAGTTGCCCAATTTAAAACTGGTTATTAAAAAGTTTTAATCTTCTATCTACATCTTAAGGCTGGAACAGTCAATGCATTCATCCAAAATCTGTAGAAAAAAGTAATGAGCCACTAAATCCCAAGTGCTACTATGCATCCCAAAACGTGAACTGGGTTACTTCCCACATTACTAACCTGACAAACTCCCAAGTGTCCCGAAGACCGAACATAGATTTCATCTCTAGAAAACCCCTTTCCTTATGCCCAAACTCATCTCCAAAAGATTGATTTTATTGACATCCTCGGGAATTCCAAAGACCACTCCCTACCCACCAAGCACTAGGTACACAACAGCCAAGCGAGTTTCCAAATTAAGAGGTTATTAGAAGAACAAGGTTTTAAAAACAGAGTTGCTCATTTAAACGAACAGCTAGTCATCGACGAGGCCACTATCTTTACTGGCGAGAGTCATACCCAAGTTTTCAAGCTTGGAAACCAATTCATTTTGGACTAATGCAGAAGACTTAAAGGTACTTCAGACTGCCCGAGACAGCAAAGCGATTACCCAAAGGATACAAAACTTTCCTCTTTTCAGTACATGGAGCTCGTACATACATCACCAAGGAAAGAATTTTGAGGAACGGGACTTGCATATTAGCCATTTCCAAGTCTTCTACCAATGTTCCTGTAGAATTCAAATACCTAAGAACTGGTCTAGACCAATGAACTAGGTCTTAAAATGAGGCTTTATGGAAGAGAAAACTAATATCTCCAAGTAAAGCCCATTAGCAAAAGCCTCTTAACCCTTACAGTCAAGAGGATGCATCTTCTATACCCTACAACATAAAACAGTTTATCAGAAGATGTAGTTGCCCACGGGTACAAGTGTTCCACCCCTCGGTGGCCTTTCTGAACATGTGGCAACGTCGGAATCACTACATGAATGAATCCGAAACGTGTGGAGCAATTGTTGGCATCTGCTCTCCTCGTGTTATTCATTCATAAAGATCACGACGTGCCACATATTCAGAAAGGCCACTGAGGGGTGGAACGCATACCTGTGGGCAACTGTACCTGGATGTCCTTGTGAAATATTGCTGTCATTGGTGGAATGTTCTCATAACCCACTTGTCATATTACAACGATAGCCTACTAGTTATTTAAAAAAAATTTCATGTGTTGGGCGAGTATCAAGATATGGAGCAACTTATGGTGGTGATGTATGGCAACTATTGTTGTGGTAAGGAACTAGTACCAGTCACTCCCCCACACCATAATTGCTGCCAATTATGGTGTGGGAGTGGCTGTTGTAATTGTGATGACAAGAAACAATGGATGGAAACTTGCAGACCAGTGGGCTCCTTTGCCTTGGCTTCCTGTGCCAAGAATTAAAATGAAAATTATTTCACAAAAATGGAAAACTTGGGCTGGCTCGCTTTTTCTCTAATTTCATTCCAGATTTTTTTTTTTTTTTTTTACAATTATGTATACATACATTGTAAATATTTAAAGAAACAAGATTAATAAAATGGTACCAAAATAGGGTAAAAGAAATTAAACACAGTAGGCCAAGTACAGTACAAGTAAAATATGTATCATACATGGCAACTCTGATAGGGGAATCATTTAGTCATTTCAATCTCTTGGAGCAAAGGCGATAAAGGGTCTCGCCAATACAGTACACATATATGACAGCCAAACTCTTAGTCCAGGAATTTGTTGCAAGAAAACAGTTAAGATAAATAAATCTTGTATGGCAGTTCATCCAAATATATTCTTTTAAGGTTAGTGTATATTCGTATAGCTTATTAGTGGATTCAGTGGAAAACCTCTAAAATATGCAATAATATCTTTATGCTTAAACAGGCCTTGCTGAATTCTACCATTCAGAAGTAATGCCAGCAAAATGACTCCACCCAAGATTTCAATACAAAGATGGAAAACCAGAAGAGAGCAAGACACCTGTTCCTTAACCACAGAAGGATCAACCATCTGGAAATAACTAAATTTCATGGCCGTTTCAGTAAAAAAAAATTGTAGCCCTTTGAGGACTGTTGCCAGCTTGTGGTCATTAACCACTGGACATAATATCAAGGGGAGGGGATCACATTCGAGTCTTACCAGGGATCAGGGGGTAATAAACAATTGCTCCAATGCCACCTGGACACCACCATATTGAGGTTTATAAGCTTCTGCATGGATACGGAGACATTCACTTAAATTCTTTAGAACTCTTATCATACTGAAGGCCAATTTTAAGTCGGCTAGACCTTTTTGGACAACCACACAAAGGAAATCTATATGCTAGGAGTATAAATTCCTGGACTGCATTCTTCAAGTGTTTTATCAGCACCCTCTGTCCATTTTAGACGTGTGACAAGTACTTCAACATAGAAGTCAAAGTAATGTTCCCACTAATTATTACAAGTTAAGCATTAAGAGGACAAGTCTATAACACCATTTCTCAAATTAGGGGAATAAATTTGTGTGTCTTACCTTTCAGGATCAGTTTTCATAATGCCATTTGAGAAAGTGGAATTCTTTGTATCTCCATCAAGGGCAATAACACTTTTGTTGTTTTCTGCCAATTTGGCAAGTGCCTTGCCATAGGCTTCTCTTGTAGCCACTTTATCACCTGTAAAATGGTATACAGTATTATGAACCATTGACTGTATATACTCCCCTAATATATATACGTAAATAAAGTCTTTTAGTCTCGTGTTTGCAAGATGGATTGGCCATTTCCTCAATCAAGCCTCCTCACACAATGCTGGAACTGGGTACAGTACTGCAGTATACTTACATTGGGATTAAATCTTTAACCAAATCATGTCCAATAAATCCCAGTTGAATCGATTTTGACAAGTTGTACTGAAAATCATTTAATTCTTTACTCTATCTACAAACCATGATAAATATTACACATGCCTTTTTTGTAATTTGGTGGAGACGACAGCTTTATGTCAGAGATCTTCACCTCGGGAGCATTTTCACGTAGAGGCTTCTGAGGGACTAAGTTGTTGGGTCCTGCATTCTTAATTAGAGCTTGAATGTGTGCAATTACATCCTCAGCCTTAGCTCCCAGAGGCTTACCATGCCAGTTCTCTTTGTCTTCAATCTCTGGGAAGCCACGACCCTTGTAAGTCTTTGCTAGGACAGCAGTTGGCTTACCCTTTGTCTGAGATGCTTCATGGAATGCCTGGAAAGAAAAACAAGGAAGGACAAGTTAGGATATTTATTTCAACACCATACTAGTACTTAACCTATAAACAAACCGATACTATTACTACCAAATTTTTCCCAATAATTTAACAGTTACCCCTAAAATAAGGTGTCAAAAACAAACCAACAAATTCAAGAACTGTACTGGAATTGATCTTCCAGTTTGAAGATGCCTAAAAACTATTGTAAGAAAAACTAAGTATATTAACCCAATAACTGCAGCATTTGGGAAATAGAGACGAGCCAGGTTGTGGCATAGGTGTGAGTGAGGAGCCACCAAGACAGGAGGGGGGTGACTAGGTATAATTCCAAATTGTTCCAAGATAAGTTAATTCCATACATTTAGCTAAATTACAATGTTTTGATTTAACAAGTGGTGTCTCGTTGTACAAACAAGTGTCTTACTGTCTATAGTCGACTTCCTTTTATTGTTTAATTTTTTTAATTCATACAAAATCACGAGGATTAACAATTTTAGTTTGTACTGTACACCCACTAAAAAATTAATCGGCACCCGTGTCAAATTGTATCACGCCGCAAGGGTGCGGAATAATTTTTTAGTGGGTGTACATCAGTAGCAATATACTCTTAATGTACAGCAAATTTTAGTGCTAACCTATCAAGTTTACATGATAACAGTAGGCATCTAGAACAGATTTCATTGTTAGCCAATATAAAGCATTACCTACAAATCCCTTAAAATCATCACATCTTACCTTACACAGAGCTTCCACATCATGTCCATCTACAACAAGTGCATTAAACCCAAAGCTCTCTAAGCGAGCTTGGTAAACATCCATCTCATGCTGGAAGGCAGTTGGTTCTGACTGGCCCAGACGGTTAATATCAAAGATTGCCACAAGGTTATCTAGTTTCTTTATCCCAGCAAAGCTTAGAGCCTCCCAGATGCTGCCCTCAGCACTCTCGCCATCACCAATCAGGCAATATGTTCTGTAAAGAAAAAATAACCACTGCATGTTGTTACAGACCTCTCAGTTACAAAGATGGACACAAGTACAGTACTTTAAAACAATAATCTCTAATCTCTTGTGAAAGATTGCATTAGGTATGTGGTGAACAAATCCATTTTAAATTGTGGGGCAGCAGTGAAAATTGGATGACAACGTGTTGAAATTGGTTAAGGAAGGAGCATGACCACGTGGCCCAAATAAGGTTCAAGAAACAACATTGAGGATATATCCCAGGACATTGTAAAGGAGTTCTGCTACTTGGGCGATATGATCAGTGCTGGAGAGGGTGCTTATATCAGCTCTTACAAGAGTCTGAAGTCTAGGAACATGCCATTTATTGACATCAAGAGGAACTGCCCCCCACCTAAGAGTAAACAGGTCTACAAATGACGTGAGAAGTAAAATACAGTAAACGACAGTGAAACAGGCAGTTAAAGAGGACAAACAGGTTTTTGAGAGCTAAAATGAAAGTGGTGAAGTAGGAGCAAGTGTTATGATGCCAACAGAGGAAAACTCTTCAGAGCTACAAGTGCAACTGGGTATTGGTCAAGGATTGGACATAGATAGGCCATGATGGTTTGGGCATGTAGAGACCACTTAGATCAAGATATGCTCAAGGAAATGTGAAGGAGACGTGAGCTAGGGGGCAAGCCAAGAATGACATGGGGAGAGGCAAGAAACAAGACCCTGACAAGAGGCTGCAAGCAAATGTTCAGCATGGCGATCTGTTAAGGAAATTGCAGATAACCCAAGTGTGGAAAATGCCCATATAAATATTGTTGAATGGCATTAACCCTTTGGATGGCAAACCCGCCCAAAATATTATATTAATTAAATGCGACAAGCGGGGATATCCCACGGCCTTGAAAAAACTTCCCCAAATGAGACGACATGCGGACATATTATGTATTGAGGTATAGGAGTATTTCCTGAATGCAATATAGCTTATTTTTGTACTATTTTGTTTGATATTATCTGAATATGTAATACATATCTAAATTTGCTGTTTAGTAACCAAATTGATTAAATTTATTTGCCATATACCAGACATTGATTTATACCAATTTCCTGCATTTTTGGGTATAAATGTCATTTTTTCTCTAAAATTTGCACACACATGTGAATTTTTGTTCCAGATTTGGAAAATATACTAAAAGTTCTCTAGGAAAAACATATAGAAAATGTGATTATATGAAATTCATTTTTGGCAGGATAATTGACACTTTTCAGGAACCGGCGCGAAATTTAAACGCACTTAAAGGTTAATAGGTTTGACAAGATGGAAGCTTATCTCTCCTCCTTGGAAGGAGAGGAGATCTGTGTGTTCCAGTTGTAAAACGACTTTGTATGAGCACATTTCTTGAATAGAAACATAGGTGGCTGAATGTAGTCATATACTAAACCATTATTGCATTAAAGGCTTTGTTCAGGATATTTTGAATGTTAGTGGCACAAGGTCACTATCCTACAACCCTGTGTCTAACAGTTGCCTCATCACCCTTATTTGAGTGGATTGTAATGGCCCAATGTGTTGAATAATTCTTCATTCTCAAATACAGTACAGCATTGGTCATGAAGCTGAAAGGTGATGCTAGGTTGTGTTCTTAGACAAACCAACTAGATATTGTAAGCCCTTGGTAAGGAAGGGCAACACTAACAAAACCTTTTACAGCACCGAGAGTGAATGAAAAAATTAATGCACGGTTTGTCAATTCTTATGGTCAAAGCCACAAAGGAGTTATTTAAGAAAAACGAGCAAAAATTCCACTAAATACTGTACAATATTTTTATCCTCAGCAAAGATGAAAAATAAAATCAGATTGTTCAAGCATTCATAAACACCTAGATGAACCAACACCACAAACCATACTAAGGTTATATCTTAAGACTTTATTTAACTTTCATTGGGTTTAAAGATTGGTAGCCATGTTTCACCTGTACATAGGTATGGGACCATTTACCAAGCATGCTTGGAACCTGGGGGTTACTGGATAGGGGTTTTTCTTGAATTTGGAGAGCCAGGTCTAAAATGTACACTAAACCCTGCAATTGCCATGACGCCTGTTCAGATCACTATAAACCCCCCCCCCCAAATAGTTTTAACTGCAAGGCATTATGACCTTAAATTGTAGGCATACAAATGGCAATGAAGAGAATACAAATGCTGTAGTAAAGTAATAATGAAATCAAAGCAAAATAGCACAAGTTTTAACATACCGTCAAACGCCCGATACTATTATAAGCAAATGGTGCTGCGTCACAGGACCTCCACCCTCTCCACGGTGGAAATCCGTAGATATGTAAAACTTTATGGCTTCTATCTTTTATTCTTTTTGAAGGTAGGATTGTGTGTGCATGTAACCAGGGAAAACGTATCTCGCCAAAATTAGAGCCGAAAAATTACTTTATACAAGTTCCCCCACCCCCCCCCCCTCCTTCCCATATGTAACCGTAAAGGAAACTAAAAATTACATACAGGTACTGTATAGCACCTACCCAAAATTAGGAGTTGAAAAATAACCTGCACATAACTCAAGAGGTGGGGAATGGTTGGAAATATCCTTGCTCAGCCCAGCCCAGAAATTACTGGTACACTACCTGGCACTCATTAAAAACAATGTTCCAGAATACTATATAGCTAGCCATCTAGCTTTTCTGATAACAGGACGCCACATAAATCATCGCATACATGTACAGTATATATTTAAGCTACAGATATTTACTGGTTTTAACAAGCATATATTTTGTCACCAGCATTAAAAAATTTCACTGTATACTTCAATTAATTTATATCCAAAAAGGTAAATTTTAGCATTAATCAAGACCATCAATGGTCATTCAAACACGACTACATATCCAGATCCCGACTATAAATCACCTACCTATGAGCCAGACTTGCCCAATACAGACAATACCCAAATGAATCAAAAAAAAATATTTGACAACATTACTGTTTTTAAATACATTGGTGTACAAGAAACTGCTACTCACCTGTACGAGGCTTTGTCATAGTACTTGCCAACATAAGCCATACCACAGGCCACAGACAAACCCTGGCCAAGAGAGCCTGTAGCAACGTCTATGAAGTTCAGACGTGGGGTTGGGTGACCCTCAAGGTCACTGTCTATTTTACGCAAGTTCATCAGATCATCCGGAGAGAACAGTCCTGCCTCCGCCCAGGCTGTTAAGTATGCATGTAAATTAAAATCCTAAAAGCCAGAATAACTCCTAATTTACATTCCTATGCACTATAGAAGGACATCTATGATAGTAATAAGAATAAATGAATGGTTTTAAACGAGGAGGCATGAGAACAACTAGCATAAGTTACCTCAAGTCTTGGGTTTAATTTAACCAATATTAATTAGATTGAATGCTATGTGGAATAAATATTTTTTTTAATATAAATTAAAACTGCATAAATAAAAATAAAGGTATACCGATTTATCAATTAAATGTTGATATGTACAGTAAACAACCCAATAGTGCATCGTTTTTTTTATCAAAAGTATACACACAATGGTTTATTTTGTTATAAAGAAGTAAAAAACATGCAAGAGAGAGAGAGAGCGTCTGCATTAACACAATTCCTACTTCAGCACTAACCAGCATAGAGGATGGGAGCAGCATGCCCCTTTGAGAGGATAAAACGGTCTGAGCTGGGATCCCTTGGGGCAGACACCTTGTAGCGCATTGTGTGGAAGAACAGCACGGACGTTATCTCTGCCATGGATGCACATGATGTTGGATGTCTGAAAAATATTAAACCGATTACTTTTTTCACATCAGCACCTCACATTTGTATTGTATTTAGCGTGCCTTTTTTCTTTTCAAACTCTGTTTAGTCTCCATTAAGATGTTCATATAACAAGTACCCTGTACTGGTGATAAATTACGTTCGGTCTAATTAAATTCGAGCACAAGTACAATGATCTTCCCACAATTCTTATGTACCATTACACTAACATGTGAATTAAGCCTACCTGAATAAAAATGTCGTTAAAATGACAAACTTGTTTCAATTAACATTTAAATAAACCGAAACCTTCAGTTACAATACACATTACTGCATATTCCACGAATTCAGAGGCTGTCACCACCTTCCTGCACCCCATCTTGCATGCAGTTTGAAAAAATTAAATATATCGAGCACTATCTTTTAGAGTATAACCTGTAGAGCATGCTTTTCCCCCCTCTACATTTTTTTTTAATTTATCAGTGGTTCTACCAGGTAACGAGTATATACAGTCACACCCAGTGACTGGACAAGATTTATGTACATCAGGGTTGTGACATTTCTAGTGGTAAGTTACCACGTCCTCCTGTGCATGCGTGCAATAGGTGTCCATTGTAGCTCTCCCTCTCCCCAGTCGTTGCAACACTGGATCAGGAAAAGAGCCAAGATGAGTGGTTGCAGCCTGCGCTCCTGTCTCCCCACAAATCAACTCGCATACATCCGTCATCCAACTCATCAAAACCCCTATACCCTCCCAAAGTCCCATGGCGACAGGAAGAGATGACTGCCAGGAGTGTAGTCAACTCTGCAGATAAGATTGTCATTAATGCACTGGGATCTAGACAGCAGTGCAACTCCACGATGGCAGTGTCATGCACAAAGGCACCAAGTCGGAGTTCTTCCCCATTCAAATGGGTTAAACAAGGGTGAGCACTGGCACCAACTTCTCCATTTCCTTGGCTGCCTTCCTTACTCGTGCCAGAGCCAATTTAATCGGCGCCGAGCTTCAGTATGCAGACCACCTCACCCTTGTTGCTGCTCACACTGAACGCAACCTACAGAGATCCAGAACACCTACACATACGTATGCACACTTCGGACTCGAGGTGAATGTACTCAAGACTTATTCTCTTTCAACCTGCCCCAGGTTCAGACACCACCATCCATCCATCTTGACAGTACTACCCACTCTAATGTTACCCACTTCGGTATCTTGGCTCCCACCTGTCCACCAACACAGACATCGATGAGATTCAGCATCGGATCAAATGTGCATCCGAAGCCTTTGGCAGACTCCGAAATCGTGTATTTTGATGTAGGGAGCTGAAATTATCTACAAAGTTACTTATATAAAGCAGTGGTCCTCCCCACCCTGCAATAGGGCAGCGAGACGCGTCGCACACAGGAGGCACCACAAGGCCTTAAAACTTTTACCAGCGTAGTCTTGTGTTCCATCCTCAAAGTTCGCTGGGAAGACGAGAACAAATGCCAAAGTTCTTGCGGACACCAACTGTAGAAGCATTGAGGCTACCATTATCCATGAGCAACTACACTGGACATGTTACCTGCATGGACGACAGTAGACTGCCAAAGCAGATACTCAACAGTCGCCTAACAAATAGTAAACATCACCCTTGCAGGAAACTGAAAAAGTGAAATGATCGTCTTAAGACAAACCTGAAAAAGTGCCAAATCGACCCCCTATCTGTGAGGGGATTAATCCACAAGGTAATGCTTGGAGGAGCACCACATGCGGTGTCAATACTTTTGATTTAACCCGACTGCATAACGAGACAGACAAGCTGCAACGCCGGGAAGACGCTGCCGCCGCCCCTCCTGCACAAGATGAAGCCCTTCACATGTGCAACATCTGTGATCGACTCTGCTGATCCCCTATCGGCCTCTTTAGTCACCTCAAAACTCGCCAATGAAGGGGACATCCTTAACTCGATATCATTATAGCATAGCTGGATGATCGTCATACTCTATTCCAAGTGACCGCGTGCATGTGCGTAATAATAATAATAATAAATAATTAACGGTTTATTGAAAAAGTTCTGCAGCCCGAAGGCTGAAAATATACATTGGACATAAATGACTTATTACATACATTGGTGGTTTAACAAAAGCCTTCATTAGAGAAAGGTAAAGGAACATACAGTGAACATTCAGATTAATGTAGGTGTTGAACAGCAAACACGTAGTGTAGTAACACTCTCCCAGATGGTGTTAGGAGGGACCTGATGTGGTGTAGTAATTCCCTCACAGATGGTGTTATGAGGGGCCTCATGTGTAGTAATTCCCTCACAGATGGTGTTATGAGGGGCATCACGTGGTGTACGAATTCCCTCACCGATGGTGTTATGAGAGACCTGACGTGGTGTGGTAATTCCCTCAGATGATGTTATGAGGGGCCTGACGTGGTGTAGTAATTCCCTCAGATGTTGTTATGAGGGACCTGACGTGGTGTAGTAATTCCCTCACAGATTGTGTTAAGAGGGGCATCACGTGGTGCAGTAATTCCCTCACAGATGGTATGAGGGACCTCACGTGGTGTAGTAATTCCCACACAGATGGTGCTATGAGGGACTTGACGTAGTGTAGCAACTCCCTCACAGATAGTGTTATGAGGGGCATCACGTGGTGTAATAATTCCCTCACAGATGGTGTTATGAGGGACCTGACGTGGTGTAGTAATTCCCTCACAGATGGCGTTATATGAGTGAGGTGTGGCCCCAGGCCTTCCTATCGTAGACGGATTAACACATCGCTGGTTGTTGGGTCTCACAGGCCGTTATCACTGGGTACCTGGGACCTCACTGTGTGAAGGTTAACTTGGGTATGACTCAAGCACTGTTCACCTCTAACACTGGTTCCATTCCTTTCCTAAATGAAATTGTAACTTCTGGCGAGAACTTGTTGATACTCCGGTGGGGAGAAGTGGTTCAGGGGAGGGGGTTGGTATGGGCCAACTTAACAGTTGACCTGGCTGCTCCGAGAGGAGCGCCAGGTACGTCTTGACCCTTCGGTGGTCAAGGATGTGTGTGTGTGTGTGTGTGTGTGCGCGCGCGCGCTCTAATTTAAACGCTAAGACACCATAAAACTGAGCACAAATTACCAAGGTTTAAGAACCCACTGATTACAGTGTTCAACAGTAATTGGTTATATACCTTTTAGAAACTTTTTCCCTCAGCGGTGGTGAGAGCATCAGCCAGCCAACTTGTGGTCTCCAGACAGCTGGCCAGAGTAACGTACTTATAGCTGCTGGTTGAGCAAGAGAGACGAGGCCGTCCACGTTACCGATCGCCAAGTGTAAAATTAATGAAAATTTATGACTTAACCCCACAATAGTGAAGATAATTTATAAACCACAAAAATTCAACCTTGTACGGTTTCACAACACTAGTGAGCGTTTCAGCACGTGTTTCCTAACCTCATCGTTCTGGTTGAGGGCAGAAAGGTCATTCACCATAGGCAGGCGAGACTACCTGGTGGAACACACCGTAATGACAACTTCCAGCTTTCTTATCTGCGCCACCCACCACCACAAACCACATTGTAATTTGCGGTCAGTACCTACAGTAAAAGTTTTCCATCACACCAAAAATATGTTGGGTGGGTTGAGCAATGTACGGTTCTGGAACATTAAATCCGTGGTTAAACTCTTAATCTCCACCGCGACGTCTGCGCTAAACAGAACAATGAACATTCACACAACTAAATCACCATTACCCACATTTCATGCTAACATACGAAGGTCGTGCAGAAAATACAGTATCCTACAATAAATTCGAACGTGAATGGATTGACGCTGAAACTGAAGAACGTCCTTACACGAGTACGATAACCAACAATAATGCCAAGGAGAATAAGAGCCAACAATAATCTCCCAAGAGTTGGCAGTGTAGTTCGTGACTAGATCCGACAATTAGCCTTACTAACATACCCTAGCAGTATTTACCCCAAGCAGCCTACCACTATTACGTACCAAATTCTGCAGACTACACCCACGCCGAGCAGTGACGCGTTACACCATAGTCCGCTCTCTCCCTGGCCGTGTGGTAATACCTTAGCTACACCCAGGTGGTTGGCCGGCAGTGTGAGGGGGAGGGGGGGCAATACAATATTGATGTAGCAACCAATGTTTAATTAAAATACCTGTACTTAAGACGCGATTTCAAGTACATTGACTCTGGGTTTGAAACTTCAGAGTACTTTCACTCCTAATCGTCCATGTGTACTTTAAATAAAAGTACATTTCAAGTCGGACGGAGCCGACTGGTCTATTTAGCCTTCTCCAATCCTGTCTCAGGTAGCTTATAACGGGGAGGATGTTGCCACCGGGACGATCCCCAGTTGTCCACTCTTCTACAGCAGCCATAAGGTAAAGGTTTCGGTACTCTTCAGCTTGAATACTATACAGTATGAATAATTATGAAATTATAAAGGTCCAGATGACCATTCAATTTCAGTCTTGTCTCCGACCCGACTGCTAACATTGCTAGGCTGGGTCTAATTTGGAATTGAAAATAATGTATGATCTTTTCACCACAATTTACACTTGAATAATAAAAAATATATATTCATAAATGTCACAAGAAATCAATAGGCGGCAGACGCCCTTACACTACACGACCTCCATTTGTGTATCATGAACAACCGGCAACTACCCTATCACTACTTAATAGGAATGGAAACAGCAGCGGGCCTATTGGCCCATACTGGGCAGTCACATTTACACTTAACCCTTATTACTCAAATATCCATCCAACCTATGTTTGAAGCTATCCAGCATATTCGAGTTAATGACGACGTTTGGCAACTGGTTTCTTTAATCCACTATATTTCCAAACCAATGTTTACTTATTTCGCGCCTAAATCTAAATTTGTCTAGTTAAAATCCATACAAGAGGCACTTTAAAACTATCACCAACGTAGTCTACGTTCCATCCTCCAAGTTCGCTGGGAAGACAAGAGAACAAATGCCAGCAATCTTGCCGACACCAACTGCACTGTAGAAGCATAGAGGTTACCATTATACATGAACAACTACGATGGACTGGCCATGTTCCGGGCATGGACGACAGACTGCCAAAGTAGCTACTTTACAGTCACGTAACTAGTAAACGTAACGCCCGCGGGCAACAGAAAATGTACAAGGATAACCACAAGAAAAGTCTGAAAAAGTACCAAATCGACCCCCTCACCTAGGAGACTAAGTCCACACCGTAATGCTTGGAGGATCACCACGCAAGGTGTTAATACTTTCGAGTTAACCCGACTGCATACCAAAGCAGACAAGCGGCAACGCCGGAAAGGCGCTGCTGCATTAGATGTAGCCCCCACATGAGCACCATCTGTGATCGACCCTGCTGGTCCCGTATTGGTCACCTCAGAACTCCCAAGCATAGGTGACATCCTTAACTCATCACGAGTATCATAGCTGGATGATCGTCATACTCGATTCCCAGTGACAATAGTAGTAGTAGTAGTAGTAGTAGTATGGTTTCGAGTCTTGGACAAACGCGGGAAGAGTATTATCAAGGATTCTAATATTAGAATCCTCGGTATTATCCAGTGGTGCAGGTTTCCTTATGCACTAACACTGGACAATTAAGTTCATAAGCGAATTAATAAAAACAAACCAAAGTAGCGATGTGATAATGTGAATAAGAGAATTGGAATGTTAAACATGGATGGGAGGTTCTGTGATCGTTACATCACAACATTCACTCCTTCCCTGGAAACAAGAATTTTTGTTTTTATCTATTAACTCCTACCTTGCGTATTGTCTTGTTATACGTTTAGAAGGTCTTATCTATTAGTAACCAATTCAAGAAGGATTTGGGTATATGGTACCTAAAGTTTCCTAGTATACATTTTCCTTTTTTTTAAAAAGCTCTTAAATACAGAGGCACCACTGAAACCACAACCAACCATAACCAGTCTGCGTCTCCCTCATCCACCACAAGGCGGGTGAGGGCCAGTACATATATCGACCTACCCGGAGTTAGAGGCCTGCGTGCACTTGATGGAGTGGATCCTCAGCTTGTTGGCGATATCCTCCAGATCCTGAATCTTAATTTCAGACATGTTGCTATTGCTTTTCTTACTGGCGATGCCTGACAATGTACACCCCATGCAGGTCTGCGCAACACTGACGCTAGGCGTCAGGAAATTTTTCTTAAATGGTGAGGTAACCGGCAACTCGCCAGCTACGGACCAATCACAGCCGGTTTACGATTGGTGCTTGCTGGGGGTTTTGATTGGCGTTTTGAAACACTCGCAGGGGAATTGATTTCTTCCTCTTATCATGGGTTAAGAATGAAAAAAATATGTAAAAACCTATAGAGAAAATAAGAAAACCTTAATTATTAATTATCATTCAGGACGAGGGGTTTTATTCAAGGTGTGGTTATCAGGAAAACTATTAACTTGACGTCAGCAACTACTTTTGAAGTAATTCTCGGCATTGAACGACCCTTGGACACTGTACACACAATAAATAAATATATATATATATATATATATATATATATATATATATATATATATATATATATATATAAACACTAATAAAACATTGATATGCTGTATCTTCAAGGTAAGAAATTTCCACTAAATCAGACTTCAAAATAAAAACAATATTCTGATTTCCAGTTCTTAATCCACTCGCTTAATGTTTCAATATATCTACTAACATTTTATATATCGATCAACACTCAAAATAAATCTACCACTACTGTCACAATATATAGGTATATCTAACATCATTAACAACACATATGAATTCACTCACAACTACCATCCATGAGACTACATTATTCCTGCCACCATATGAACTTATCTTAAAACTAAAATTCGCATTTACAAGCCAAAACGAAAACTCCCCCATTCAACACATTACAGGTGTCCTGGTCACGAGTGAATCGCCTGAAGGGTGAGGTAGCGCAACTGACTTGGGAAGCTCATTCTTGAGTGGGAGGGAGGAACAGGGCCGGATTCAGGAGTGGGCAAAGTGGGCAGCTGCCCAGGGGCCTCCACATATCAGGACTGGTCGACTTGAAACCACATGAATGACTCCAGTCATGCCTCACTTTTGTGTGTGTGTTGGGAATTTGTACACTATCAATAAATATACAGTTAACTAAAAATTTCTCAATGTTCGAAATTCCTCAATATAACTGCTTATGGGTTCAAAATTCTCCAAAGAAGTATTCAAATTTCAAAAAATTCCCGGGGGGCTTACAGCGCCCCCCGGAACTCCCAGATGTTTAGGCTCGCTTCACTCGCCACCCCACCCTCTTGGGTAGTTATAATGAGGGGGGCTTCCACAAAGAGGCTGCCCATGGGCCTCCACAGGTCTAAATCCGGCACTGGGGAGGAAGGAGATAAGGAAGATGGAAATAAGGAAGGAGATGAGGAGGGAGGAGAAAGAGAGGTAGGGGGTCGAGGGAGCAGAGTAATGGAGGGAGGGAGGAGATATGGAGTGGATGCGAAGGAGGGAGGCAGGGGGTGAGGGAACAGAGTAAAGGAGGGGTTATACGGTTTCGAGACAAAACGGCCCCACCCTGTGACCAAAACGGCCTAACCTAACCTAATCTACCCGAAACTGAGCATGATAGCAGCCATGTTGAGTCTGAGTTGGCTGGGTAACTAACCAGAAGTGGCAACTGGTTGTTTGGTCCAATGTTTACATCGTTTACATTTGATAGTTGCCACTTCTGGTTAGGTTAGGTCAGGTTAGGCCGTTTGGGTCACAGGGTGGGGCCGTTTTTTTCTGCTACCGTTTATACACTATCAACAGTATGATGCAGGGATTAGTGAGACAGGCACGTTCATCCTCCACGCAGACACAACGTGTGGTGGCTGGAGGTAGTAGGGGTGGTGGTGATGGAGGTAGTAGGGGTGGTGATGATGGAGGTAGTAGGGGTGGTGATAGTGGCTGGAGGTAGTAGGGGTGGTGGTGATAGAGGTAGTAGGGTGGTGATAGTGGCTGGAGGTAGTAGGGGTGGTGTAGTGATGGAGGTAGTAGGGGGGTGGGTGGTGAGTGGCTGGAGGTAGTAGGGGTGGTGGTGATGGAGGTAGTAGGGTGGTGGTGGAGGTAGTGTGGTGGTGATGGTAGTAGGGTGGTGATAGTGGTAGTAGGGGTGGTGGTGATGGAGGTAGTAGGGTGGTGATAGTGGCTGGAGGTAGTAGGGTGGTGGTGATGGAGTAGTAGGGTGGTGGTGGCTGGAGGTAGTATGGTGATGGAGTAGTAGGGTGGTGAGTGGCTGGAGGTAGTAGGGGTGGTGGTGATGGTGGTAGGGGGTGGTGGTGATGAGTGGTGGGGTGGTAGTGGAGTAGTAGTGGTGATAGTGGCTGGAGGTAGTAGGGGTGGTGGTGATGGAGGTAGTAGGGGTGGTGGTGATGTAGTAGGTAGTAGTAGGGGTGGTGGTGATGGAGGTAGTAGGAGGGTGTGGTGGTGATGGAGGGTAGGTAGTAGGGGTGGTGGTGATGGAGGTAGTAGGGGTGGTGGTGATGGAGGTTGTAGGGGTGGTGATGGAGGTAGTAGGGTGGTGATAGTGGCTGGAGGTAGTAGGGGTGGTGGTGATGGAGGTAGTAGGGGTGGTGGTGATGGAGGTAGTAGGGGTGGTGGTGATGGAGGTAGTAGGGATGATACTGGTGAAGGCTGGAGATAATAGGGGTGGTTGGTTATGGAGACTGGAGGCAGTTGAGGTGGTGGTGTTGGAGGAGGCTGGAGGTAATAGGGGTAACAGGGGTACAGTGATAACACTATCAGGTATAACCAGCAAAGGTGTTAGTGTGTGTGTGAGAGAGAGAGAGGCGACCTGTGGTGTGATGGTCAGCATGCTCGCCTCGCAAGCGAGCGGACCCGGGTTTGATCACCGGGCAGGGTGAAACTATGGGCAAGTTTCTTTACGCCATTTGTGGATCATATTCCGGGATAGTGGTAAGCCAGTGCGGTTGGCGAGTTGTCCGGTCTTCTCGGACTATTCCTTGACACTGGGTCATGCAGCTCGTTAACTTAGGGTGTGGTTGTTTTGTTGGCGACAGCCTCTACACCTTAAACAAATTCACGCCTAGGTGGCCCTTGTGCCGGCCATCCTCGTTGTACGAGGAACAACCATTATTATTCATTTATTGTGAGAGGCGGTAGTCGAACGAAACATCTTATGGACTTGGACGTGAAGGGTACACTAGGGACGTACTTATGAACAATAGTGGCAGCACCAGCGATCATCAGTGCTCCGTGTCCCCCCCTCCCCCCGAGACGAGACGTGGTTGTGCCAGACGGACAATCGCCTTCAGTTACGTCTCTTTTACAATGAAGTCAGTATCATGAGTGAATGAAAAGATCTTGGGAATAGTCAGGTTTCGGACAATGAAATTATTTCAAAATATTGCGTCACGAGAAAGATAAGGTTATTGTACTGTTGGGACACGCTGGCTGACACGACCTTCCTCAATCATAATATAGATTAAATATGTTAGTTCTCTACATTAATATAAACAAGTAGTACGTGTTGTACTTCCATCCCCTGCTAAGCATATCCTTAAGAACAAGATCCCATGTTGAAGATGAGTGGTGACGGCGGCACGCCACTCCCGCCTCAAGGACCTGTGTCTGTAAGTGGCACCATCATGTGGCTACTGGAACTACAGTATGTGACTGGCACCACTGACCCTGACTGGTGTCCTTAAATTGAGCGGGGACTGAAACCTCGAGTTAACGTGGGAAAGGAAAACCCTTAACGGACAGCTGGTCTGGAGAGGCGCGGATGGACGGATAGAGGGAGGAAGAGATGGATGGACAGGCGGTATAAAATTCCAGTGAGGGAGTTGGTTACACATAATGAGTATCCTGAGCGTTACCAACAGTTTGACGGCTCCATCAGACGTCAACACTAAAAAAATCAAGAACGAACCAGCACTCTGACCTTGACCCTGGCATCTAGGAATAACTATCAACAAAGAAATGATTTATACAACCCTCGCCCCGCCCACCAGCCTCCACTAGGCCACAGCACCTCGAAACATGGATAACTATGAAGGTCTAACACTCACCAACTCTCACACTATGAAGGTCTAACACTCACCAACTCTCACACTCTGAAGGTCTAACACTCACCAACTCTCACACTCTGAAGGTCTAACACTCACCAACTCTCACACTCTGAAGGTCTAACACTCACCAACTCTCACACTATGAAGGTCTAACACTCACCAACTCTCACACTCTGAAGGTCTAACACTCAACAACTCTCACACTATGAAGGTCTAACACTCACCAACTCTCACACTCTGAAGGTCTAACACTCACCAACTCTCACACTCTGAAGGTCTAACATTCACCAACTCACACTATGAAGGTCTCTCACCAACTCTCTGAAGGTCTAACTCACCAACTCTCACACTCTGAAGGTCTAACACTCACCAACTCTACTCTGAAGGTCTAACACTAACACTCACTCACACTCTCACACTCACACTATGAAGGTCTAACACTCACCAACTCTCACACTATGAAGGTCTAACACTCACAACTCTCACACTATGAAGGAAGGTCTAACACTCAACAACACTCACACTCTGAAGGTCTAACACTCACCAACTCTCACACTCTGAAGGTCTAACACTCACCAACTCTCACACTCTGAAGGTCTAACACTCACCAACTCTCACACTCTGAAGGTCTAACACTCAACAACTCTCACACTATGAAGGTCTAACACTCACAACTCTCACACTATGAAGGTCTAACACTCACCAACTCTCACACTCTGAAGGTCTAACATTCACCAACTCACACCAACTCTCTCAGTGAGTCTCCTCCAGTGGTCAGCCATCTTGCCACACACCCGTCACAGATTCACTTGCTCTACTTTTATCAAGATGTGTGAAAGTTGATGGAAAATTACTGGTGGTTTACTTAATTATACAGACTTCTGATTACACATACACAACGCATAAACACATACACAATACACACGAACGCACAAATACAACCACACGCAAAAACACACACATAAACACATACTCGTACACGAAAGCATAAATAGAAATCTTGTATTTGGAGGAGTGATTATAATACCAAGGCGATTCACGAGTTTGTATAACCAAACCTAAATCATTTCTCTAGTCAGTTTTTCAGCGGAATTTCACAAGGCCCAGTGAAAATGATACCGTATATAATTATGTATATATAGATGGGCGTTGTGTACTTTGTCAAGATTGGTTCAACTTTTATGAGTATGTATGTCAGTTCGTTCGGCCGTTTGAGATATGGTGACGTAACTCCGTCTGCAGTATGTTGTGTTGGGGGGGGGTGGGGGCATGCCTT